GCTATTACCAATGACTATTCTGCTTATCCATTGTATAATTAAGGGCATAGTATGCATATGTTTAGTCAAATTTCTAAATATATTGTTTTCTCATACTTTGGTTTTACAGATCAGAAATTCCAGTGTTATTTCATCTTAGTTAAAGTACGTGGCACTGAAAAGCAAACCAATGCATCAAAATTATCCTTCTTGATCATCAATACACTAATGTGTAAATAATGGTGAACAGATTAATGTACTAACCAAAAGCCAGATGACCGTAGCCATAAAAATCTAGAAAACTTAAACAAAATCCAGGATATCTTGGTAATCTTAACAAATAGTGACCAGTGAAAATGTTTACAATTCGATTTGTGTAGAATGAATATCATGTTAATATGACATCTTTGTAACAAATGAAAGAAGTTTTTATTGTATGTGAATTATAAGGTTGCATAGGAGACCTTAGTCATTTCACTTCCATTTCTTTAAAGTTCGATAAATACGAAACCGCCACATAATGTGAATTATCTAGTAAAATTTTGCAACACAAAACTCAATTTTGCTAAGGTGAATAAATTCATACATATGGTTTTGATTTTCAGTGGTCCTACAAATGATGAAGCATGATATCAGAACACCATAAAAAAGTTAATTTTAAACTGTATCTGAATAAAAATTCAATTTAATTTTATATAAAATGAAATCACTGTCAGTCTAATAGAAGAATAAAACCAACAAATCGGAACTCACTGACCCTTATTTCCAACGTACACTAGTTATCAATACATCCAAACTACCATCTAATGTCAGTAGATAAGTGTTTAATTTAAGCAATTAGGCAAGAATCCACGAATAAGATTTTCGGTGATTTTATCAAAGACATTAAATATTATTATTCAGCGTCATTAGCCTCGTCACAGTCTCGTAATAGTACGCTGGGATCGAACAACGATTCTGGTGTTATATTCTCCCCAATACATTATTAATTTATACATATTTTCACACCTAGCCCCCAAATGCCCTGGTACGGCCGAGAGTGGAGACAGTCCGCTCTCCCTCTTAAAATACTCTCACACGGCCACGCGTGCATAGCCACTGCTAAAGAAGTCCTACTCACTGCCTTCTCGTGACTGGCGTGTTGTTCACGAAATTAAGAGGACGAAAAGCGAACGTCCGACGCTTTACAGGGTTGGTGAACATGGCTAATCCGCCTAGAGGAGTTGGAAAACCATAATTTCAAGCCAATGGTGCACATGGGCTCCGGTATCCTGAGGGAACAAACGGCGTATGAATCAATCGTTAGTTACCGTCTATCATAGGACTGCATCTCCTCACGATGCTCCACTGCCTTGTGCATCAGATCTTTAGGTTAAAGGCTCCGAGTGTGAGCCCCTAAGAAAACCACCTGCTTCAGTTTGGGCACCTGAGCAGTATCACCGCCCTCACACAAATCAAATGAGATTTGTGTGGCGCATTTATATCTGGTCCCCCTTTGTACCAATATTTATGTGTTTTAATAAATAAATAAATGAATAAAACACCTAGAAAAGAACTATATTTTTTTAAGAAAATCAAGATTTTTCAAAAGTAACACTTCATTATTGATTGATATGAGTTATTTACTACTGATAAATCATTAAAATTAAGAGTAACAAATTTCGATAAGAATCATCCTTACGTTGAACTATTTGTTCACCTTCTTACATTATTTATGTACAAAGATTCTATCATTGTCGACGACTTCAAACCTGCGTTATCAACTGAATACTTAAAAAAAAAAAAGAAACGAGTCATCTGACAAACTATTACTCTAAAACATTTTCTTTTTTTTCTAATATATAATAAATGAGTCAAAAAATCAATGAAAAAAAACAAACTAATTCACAAGATGTCAAAGACATTTAGATAATCTCAAATGTTACTCATTATAAATACCGAAAAAAGTAAACCACAATTATATCATACAACAAACATTAAAAATTTAGTGTCATTTTATCAATTAAATAATTGTTACGTAGGTTATTTTTTTCTTCTTCACATGAACAAATCTTCATGATTGACAACAACTATAAGTCAAGAAATAAATATATATATATACTTATTGATTGTTATTTTATGCAAAAACAAAGCAATAAAACAAAACAGAATACAAATGTTCTTGGAGTAAAAGTTATCAACCAAAGTTTTCTAACTTCTTTTTCACATATCACTTTATAGTAATTAACTAAAATCAAGGTTAAATTGAATGTAATACCGATAAAAATAAAAACGAGTTAAAATAATATTCAATATTGTATCATAGTAGATCAACTAAATATTAAAACTATTTCTCTATAAAATATAATCATAAATACATATTCTATATGGAGGGTTTTCTGTGGAGATCACCGTAGAAAACCTGGAGGCACTAGACGGCCGTTTCGTCCTATTGTGGGACTCCTCAGCAGTCTGTTGTAGAGATATCAACTCACTGAAGACAATTGGTGAACCGTTGCTCAGATTTCGTGGATTGGTTGAAGTTAGACATTAACATCGTTGAATGCCGGCTTACTCAGTGGTTTAGTGTTTAAGTGCTCTGGAGCGAGACTGGTAGGTTATGGGTTCGAATCTCGCGAGGAGGGATCGTGGATGTGCATTGGTGAGGAGTCCCACAAGAAGACGAAACGGCCGTCCAGTGCTTCCAGGTTTTCTACGGTGGTCTAGCTTCAACTGACTTATGATTTCAAGTATACATATTCTACAGGTCAGAAAATTAAAAAGAATGTTGAATGATTTGGATACTTAATATTGTGTGCCAAACATAAAGAAAAAAAAGAAACGGTCAAATCTTTATTAATTAAACCATTGGTTTCAACTTATTTAACAATTTGTCCATAAATGTTGATATATATCCACAATTCATGCTTTTTTAGAAGAGAAATGTGTAACCTATACTGTTTATATAAAATAATAAACTAATTAGCTAACAGTTACCTGCTTCAGTTTGGATACCTAGGCAGTATCACAGTTCTCACACTAATCAAATGAGATTTGTGTGGTGCACATATATCTGGTGCCCCCTTGTACCAATCTTTATAAATATTAAATAAATATAACAGTTTCTTCTACTATATATGCTCAAAAACTTTGTAGGACACTATCATAGTTTAATTATTACATGCTAGTTTAGCACTTGACGACTATATTTACCTACAAAATTTATAAAGATTTTGTAAAATTACATAATTTAAACTATATATGATAACAAAACTCTTCTACTTAAACTGTTCCGTTTATAATCAAGAGTTTATTTCATGACAACTATACATATTGACATTTGTTGAAACTTTGTGCATAAATTTCTCTCATCCTTTTATTGAAAAGAAAAAAAAACTCAACGAATAGATAGTTTCCCAATAAATGATGCTACCTAGATACTTATTTGGTTAAAACAGGTAAAACAATCAGTTCTGTCTTACTTTTAATAAACAACATTTAAAGTTTTATTGCATTCAGTAACTATACTCATAATTCAATGATCTTTAGTTTCTGTTTTTTTTTTTTATAAATTCACCTACTTCCATTAAGTATGATTATTAGAAATCTAAAAGTGTCAATTATGATAATAAAAAAAAACCCAATCTTAATTCCAAAATGATTAATCCTAATATTTAATTTTCCATATAAAACTAATCCGCTTAATGATGCCAATAAATAATAGTAAAAATAAAAATTTAATATATAAATGATATTCATACAATGATGTAAATAGTTTAGATGTGTTTAATGGTTATAAAAAAAAAAACAAGTGTAAATACCTGTTTTAAATAGTTATCATTCCAAAATTGAGCATTGAATGAATTATTTACTAACATTAAATTAAGTCATTTTTATGTGAAGGGAGTCTTCTTTTAAGAAATTTACAGCAATTAATCCCTTTGATAAATTTCGATAATGTAATAAGAAAACGAATATAATCAGAACTATATGATGAGATATTAGCGCACAATACATTTCGAACAATCTGATCATACATAATATACTTGTTAAGAACATTTATATATAAAAGAGTAGACGATAAACATCCATCATTCTCTATTGCCAAACATATAATTGAAACAGGTCATAAGATTGATCTTAACACGGCTTTTGTAGTGTTGTATAAAAGTGTAAAAGGGTGTATACTAAGCTTTATTGAAGCCTTAGTTATACAAAAAATTAAAACCTCCTTTGTGTATTCAAAACCAGTTTGTTCTCTCCTTAAACCTACCCTGGTAATATAAGCTTATTATCCAGAGTGATTAAGTGTCAAATTGTTTTCTTATTATTTTTATTATTATTATCCTTGTCTATTCTTACCCCCAATTTCCAGTCTAGTTGACCACTGCTAGCCACTATCCATCTTTGTTTATAATACTTGTGAATTAGATTATATCGAGGCAATACGCACAGTATGCACATATGCCAATTACAGACTGACCAGCTGCAGTCCTAAACATCAATGAGAAGATTTAAACAAACAATAGTAAATTGAATTTAGTTGACCTTTTATTTTTATATATAAATGGTCTTAACAAGTATATTATGTGTGATCAGATTGTTCGAAATGTATTGTGCGCTAATATCTCATCACATAGTTCTGATAATCTTCGTCATCTTATTACATTATCGAAATAAGTCATTTGTATTAACTGGATAATTTGAAAATCGTCTCACATTGGAATGTTATGGGTAAATTATTTTATTCATGGAACTAATCCCAATATATTTTGTTTTCTAAACAAAAGAAAATCTTGGTGAAAAAAATTAAAGAAATAAACAATAATCAACACATATGGTTGCTAACCGATAATATCCCCTTATAGAAAAAAAAGTTAAGGATTTTGGTGTAAACACATCTGGAATAAAAGTTTCATATTTCACAGGACTACTGAAAAGTTATTTTTGCATAGTTTTTTTTTAAAATAATGTTTTTTTCCCTGTAATTGAGGAATATACAATAAAGAATAATACAAAAAGGTTAACAATTAATTTCTTACTCTGTTGTAATTTATCCCTGAAGCTATTTATACAAGAAAATTTCATAGGTGGTACATGAGCTTCTGTAAAACGTTGTTCTACTTCATTAAAATTTTCTTCAAAATTCACCCATCTTGCTGTTTCCAACCAAAGAACTCGAAAATGAGCTGCAACTGGCATTTTAAAAATTGATTCATTGAATTGTAATCCACCATCCACTCTTGGTACTAATTCTTGAAGTTCAATAAACATTTGTGTTGGATAAGACCCAGTATGAAAACTGAGTTTATATCCTTCTCTATTGTCGGAACCTCCACTGTGCTCTTCCTCAACAACTATAATATAATAAACGATAATTATGTTTAAGCAAATTATTACAAAAAATAAAAGGCATTTTAATGATCTATTTCAGATAACTATTTAATAATATGGAAAATAAAACATCCAGTTATCAGATCATTAAACACTAGTATTTCAACGTTTTTCTAATTTAGTATTTTGTACAGAATTAATGGATGATGGTTTTCGTCCAGAAGATACAGGTGTTTACTAACAGTCGTCTACGCAAGATGCTTCGGATCCGTTGACCAGACACTATCAGCAACAACCTACTTTGAGTGAGAACAAACCAGATTTTAGCGGAGAAAGAAATCAGTAAGAAGTGCTGGAAGTGGATATGACACACTTTAAGGAAATTACCCACCTGAGTCACAAGACAGGCTGCCACATGGCATCCTGAAGGCCAAAGGAAAAGTGGAAGACTAAAGAACACATTACACCGAGAAATGGAGGCAGACATGAAAAGAATGAACAAAAGTTGGATAGAACTAGAAAGGAAAGCCCAGGACAGAGTGGGTTAGAGAATGCTGGTCGGCGGCTTATGCTCCAATGGAAGTAGGAGGCTTAAGTAAGTAAGTAAAGAATAGATTAAATTATACTTTATTCCAGCCTACATGAAAAAAACTACCTATAACATTTTTTTTTCACAATTCAGTAAATGGATATCTAGTTGATAAAAAAAAATACTTTCATAGTTGAAAGCGTGAGTCAATTGAAGCTAAACCACCATGGAAAACCTGGAAGCACTGGACGGCCGTTTCGTTTTATTATGGGACTCCTCAGCATTGCGCATCCACAATCCCGCACTCATGAGATTCCAACCCCGGACCTACCAGTCTTACTTACCACATCCTACATAATGATTGGAATGAATTTGTTTAGGACTAAAACAATTTCCTATTAGGATTTCATTCAATAAATATATCACTAAAAGCTTAGAATATACCTTGAAATGTTCTTTATCATATCTACCTAAAAGATCTCATATTAGGATCATTATTTATCTAAATAAAAAAATTATATCGAATATGATAGTGTATATATATTGGCATTAGGAAATATAAACTTTAATTTAAGTAGGTCTGTAAAACTTTATTGTCATTGAAGTTTGTTCTCAAAAAAATCCAACCTAAAAAAGAATAAGAACCAGAAAGATACTTCCTTTTCATTAATTTCATGCTTATTTCTGTATAGTTTAGATTATCTTTGTAAATTGCTTATTACTTTTTTTCTGGTATTTATAATATACAATAATCAAAGAAGATGGAATATATTTTTCACTGTACTTTTATTAAATGTGGGAAATCTAATAAACCACACTCTGATTAATTATAAGAAATGTTTTTTTTTGTTTTATTTTGGAATAAAACATTTTATTACATAATTTCTTATGTAATTTATTTAATACATTATTATTTTATTTTTTTCATAGTTGAAATCATGAATCAATTGAAGCTAGACCATCATCAAAAACCTGGAAGAACTGGACGGCCGTTTCGTTCTATTATGGGACTCCTTAACAATGCGCATCTACGTTCCTGCACTCACGAGATTCGAACCCATGACCTACCAGTCTCTAGCCAGAGCTCGAGATTCTCCACAAAACCCCCTCTGATCTATTTTATATTTTTGAATTGTAAATTAGGCAGAGTACATTGTTTAACAAAACTGTAACATGTGAATCAAGGAGTGTTGTTTGTCATATAAAATAAAATCGAATCGTCAATGTTGGAGCTGATTAATATGTAGTGTTAACTTGAATCAGTTTATAAGTGAAATAAAATGGTAACACAAATGATCAGAATATATATAGTTGACATAAGGTAAGAGAGAATAATGGAATTACAAATCAGAAATTGCGTAATATATAGAATAATATAAAGGTAGAATAGCTTTTCTAGATGTTCTACTTACAAGGAGAAAAGACGGTTCATTTAATGAGAAAAATAACCAGGAAAACATCATGAACGGGTCAGTATACAAACTTTCTTAGTTTTGTTCCTCTACAGTACAAACGGAACCTGATTAAGACATTACACTATAGAATCAAGACCATATGATCTCGAGATATGGACGAAGATGAAACAAAATCATTATACACGACCTTGAGAGAAAACGGATACCCAGAGTAATTTATAAATAAAAACATAGCTAGTAAGAGAGAGCAGAAATAATGTTTAACTGTGAATAAAAACCTCCATATATACGTCTACAATTCAGAGGCGACGTACCTTGTGAAATGTTAATACTGAAGCTAGGAAGCTCAATCCAAAGGCCTTTAATGTAGGTAAACTACAACTAATGTTTTCCACACGTCCAATGATCATGCCGATGTTGAAAGATAAATTGCCTAGACTAGCCACTTCTTTCTGTATCTATAAATTCAACTGCTTTTGTGGGGCAAGTTATATAGGCAGATGTTCTAGGAATTTGTTTACTCGGTGTGGTTAAGCAAAGGTGTAGTCAAAACGGTTAACAGCTCTATTTTAACCTATTTAGTTCAAACGGGACATAGAGCCAACACCGAGCAAGCTTTCACAATAATATATCTTGTTAACAGCAGTCTACCTAATTCTGTCAGACGGAGAATCCTCCAGACGGCTGGGGCAATTGCTATTCAGATCAAAAAGTCAGAGCTTTGCATCCAAAAGAAATATGCCCAGTCGCTCTTTTTACCCTGGCCAACTTCATGGTCAACTTGTTAATAATCAATTTCACAATATGGTGACATTAATTTTGATTAATATTCATTTTTATATCCTGAACTTATTTTATCTACATATCTTACCAGTCATTATTATTATTATTATCACATTTGCCAACCTTTTACAGAAATTTATTCAACATTCACATCTATCTACTATATCTGACCTAATTCATATTATTCTACATATTACGTAATTTCTGATTTGTGATTCCGTTATTCTCTCTCTTACCCTATGTCAACTACATTTATTCTGATCAATTATCCTTGCAGCTGCAAGAATCATGCGACAGTAAAGGAACTCAGTGGGTTTCTTAGTTATTCTGTCAAGCTTGCCATAGGGAATATTGATCAATTATCTTACGATTTTATTTCACTTATAAACTGATTCAAGTTAACACTACATATTAATCAGCTCCAACATTGACGATTCGATTTTATTTTATATGACAAACAACACTCCTTGATTCACATGTTACAGTTTCTTAAATGATTTAGTCTGCCTTAAACTTCGCCAATTGTAAATTAGATTGTAATGTTCTGTATAAGATATATCATACTCTATGCTCATTTCTTATGCGATAAATAGACTAATGAACTATAGCTAAATACGCACAAGGAGTTTCTTTTCTTTTTGTAATTGTCTCCTTTCTTGATGTTCATTCTGACGAGAAAATTATTAGAATGATAGCTTTTGTTTATATTTAGTAAACATTTATAACCCTATTTCAGGTTGGATTCCAGACTCTTATATTTCCATTTGGCGGGTCAAGTATAGGAGATCTTATTGTATTGTCAGAAATGCTGCTGATTAATGCATAAATCATTTTAAGCACCCTATTTGTTACAAACACTTACTATAAACACCTACTGATTACAAATCGTATTTACATTAGATATGTAAAATCAGCTAATTTATAAAAAAAGAACACATTTTCGAAGAAAATTGGCTATTTGCAAGTTCTTCAGTGATTACCAAACCATTAAATTTTAAATTTTAATGTACATTCTTGTTTTCCCTTTACTTTAAAATGTCCAAGTAAAATGATCTAGAGTCACTCAGTTCTGCAGTTAAGATTGATAATAAAAAGAGTAATAATTTTTCCGTGTCAACATTACCACAGAATAATTAATGACTTCATTGTGCCATCACGTTAACCTACTACCATTACTACTAATAATAATCATCGGTACCATGTTCCAAATAATGAATTTTTAAATATTTGTAGTAAAGTAATCAACTTTCTATCTAATGAAGAACCTAAATCAATATGTTACTGATCTACATATATGTACACAAATATACACATAGTACAACATAATTAACAGAATTACCATATAGAATTGTATTCCTTGGCATCAACTACACTATGGTTTAATTCTTGTTAATTGACGATGTGGAGTTTTTTGCTCCATGAAGTAATAAATACATATAGTCCTTTATCTATTGACAAGGAATAATTTGCATTAGTACAGAGCCATTCCTTATTACTTCAATTGTAATATTGACTGTAACCAGCCTTAATGTACATGATACACACATAAACATACAGACAAACATGCTCATTATGTATTGTCTTGTGATTATAAAAACCGTAATAACGATAGGCTCCTATAATAAATTATTGTATGTCTAGCGTTTACAGTTCAGGCTAAAATAAAGGGGTGGGAAACTAGTACAAGTATACATTTTCGAAAAAAAGTATATATAATTGATATGTCTGCGCCACAAATATCACTACCAATCTCACAACAACTGAGAAGAATAAATGAACGATTCGTTTTATTAATTTGTCTGAATTCTGACAGCTGATTCATTCATTTACATGTAAAATAAACATGTTTTCGAGAAGAGTATACAAGTCAGTAAATAGAAGAAACAGTTAAATTCAATGATAATAATTATAAATTTAAATACAACAAAGTACTTTTCATTATATCTTTGTCTATCCTTTATCCTGTAAAGGATACTTCTTAATTTTCTCTCTAATATCAGCTTAGTTTGTAAATGAAAAGAACCTTAAATAACAAATCCATCAATTACCGTCTTCGAAATAGACTATCACCTTATTCCTGTAACTTATTTTCAAATTATATTTTATTTTTACAGATTAAACAAACAGTGTAACTATTGAATGTGATTGTATATATGGCTCCGTGGTGAATACTCAAGAAAATCAAATCATTGACAGAAAACTGTTCAAATAAACATATTTCCAGAAATAAAACAAGAGGTTAATGAAGCTTTTACTTTTCAGTAAACAAAAACACACTTGTGTAAAAGTCACTTATTTTTGGTTAATGACTTTTTTATTAAAAGAATGATTATTTTCGGTCTATGGTTGTTGAGATTGTTAAGTTTTTATTTGGATTACAAATCGAATAATGTCAGACCACCACTGAGAACCTGAAGGAACTGGACGGGCATTTCGTCTCAGTATGGGACTCCCCGGCAGTTTGTATAGCTCCATGATCCTGATAAAAAATCAACAATCTCCTTGACTCTATACTGATAATTATCATGTGCTCAATAGCGACTAGCTTTGAGAGGTAATTTTCGTGGTTCCAATCGGAAGCTGTGACAAGTGGAGTACAAAGTGTCGGGTGTGATGCAGTGTTACACAAAAGACAATCAAGATGGTCGTGAAATGTGTAGTGATTGAAATTAAACATTGACACCGTTGGATGTCGGGTCAGTGGTCTGGAGCTTAAGCGTTTGTGCATGAAACTGAAGTTCTTGGGTTCGATTCTCGTATTCGTGGTCGTAGATGAGCGGTGGATGATCGGTTCACGGTCTCAATTAAAGTGATTATTTTATTAAATATTTTGTACACCACTAGCAAATCTGATAAGTTGGACAGTAATTCAGTCTACTCAGTTGTGATACGTGGATCAGCTTCTTGAACAAAGTCTCATTTCGGCCACTTTACTTAACTCAATAACTTTATCAAACCAAATGTACCCGTAGAGACAATAATATCACTAAGTGATTTTTACTAGATTGTATCTTGTTATTTACTGTAATCATTATTATTAATTATCAAGATATTATAAACTACAACATGCTCTTGGACAGCCGAATGGATGTTAAGTGTATTGATAATCTTCAATATGCTTCACTCCTATGTTTTTAACCTGTATAAATCATATTTTTTAGAACGTTTTTTTTCATATTAGTTCTTTTTTTCATTGTACAACTAATGCTTTGCCTATACTTAATGACACATCTTCAATAATATCAAGATATAGCTGTTTACGCAAGCCCTTTTGCCAGTTTTCATCATAACAACTAACGAAAGAGCGAAAGAATCTAGAACAGTAACAATCACAGTATTAGAAGTCGCAATTCACTACGTATTTCGAAACAAATATCACATTACTAATAAAAATACTAATATAGAAAGAGCAGAATGATGACTTCTCCAAAAGATCATATCTTTAACTTGGAGACAGAAGGTTGAGAAAATTGATCTCCAGAAATCATCATCTTGTCTTCAGTGAAAAAGTTAGACTTCCAGATACAAAGAATCTTAAAATGTGAACAAGACTTCACAAACTTTGAAAGACCCAAGTGATGACAAATGTCCTTCCGGAGAAATGTCTATTAGAGACACTGTAATGTTTCCTCCTGAGTATAAGCTTTAAACTTTTATATAAGAAGCCCAGTACTATCATATGTTGTCAGATCAAGAAACAAGACGGTTATACCCCCGTCAGATTAACTAAAAACAATAATGTTTTTGTTCTTAAAGGGAAAAAGAACTCTCTTATATCAGCCCGAAAGAGATCCCTTACAGGAAACAATTAGCTTTTGTGCTTTAAGTAACCTTTAATGGGTTTGGAAATATAAATTCTTTCTTTTACACATTGCTATAGTAGATGAAAATCAAATGCCAAGTACATTACTTAATTATTTTCATCAGTGTAAATGTTAGTGATGTGAGGAATAATTCTAATTACCAACACTGGAGACTGTCATACCAAACACCTTTAGTTAGGTGAAAGATATTAGGAGGATCAGTAATAAGACTTCTATTTTCATTTAGCGGTATTCAAAATAAAGTCAGTGAAATATATTTATATTCCAATGTTCTGAAGTAATTAATTTTTATCAAGTCGTTTATTTAACGTTTTCCAGCCAATCAAGAAAAATTACAGATTAATATTTTATTGAATACCAACATTAAACCTTTGAGGTCTGCCCAAGAAAATAAAGATTCTTTTTAAAATTAAGGTCATAAAAACAGAAACTCATTGGTTCAACAGATAATTTTTGATACTGAATACTTAGCTAACATTTCTAATCAACCCTAATCATAACTACTGCATGATATCCGCCATTTTTATTAAACATACAAACGACTGTTATCTGTTGTCATGCTGATAGGTTATGTAATATTGATATTTAAAGAAGACAATAGGGGATTACAAGTACTGAACGGTCAATACTTTCTCATTCACAGTTAAAGAAACTGGTGATTGAAGTTGAGGTAGGCTCTACCTCTTAAGCATGGAAAATTACATACAATACTTAAAAGTCTCTTCATAATGTCCCTCAAAAGTAACTTTGATGTTTTGGTTGAAATATTAAGAATAAAGGGGGAAAAATGCAATGTGAAGGAAGAAAATACAGATTTTTGACCAAAAACAGTATGACAACGATCTACTGTGACAATTTTGAATTAAATAACCTTTAAGAAGTTCCACAGCGTTGAACGAATCAAGATCCAAAGTGAGGATATCTCACCTCCATTGATATCGCACATAAGGATTACAATTAGTTGACAGTATAAGGAACCTTTAATCATATTTCATATTAAATCCCTTCATTCGAAATTTTCATGTCAATTACACTAACCATTACCCAACTTTAATTTCGTATGAATAACATCACGATTTGATCTAAGTTAACCATGTGATAATGAAAATGTGACAATGGAGAAAGCTTTTAAAAGTTATCAAATAAACGCAGGTAATTTAGTTCAGGGGTTAAATTACTATGTTAAGCAATATCAAGTCACTAAATCAAATGAAGTAATCAAGGTCAGTGAGTGTAATTTGAGCAAAAACGAAACATAAATAAGGCTAACTTGGTAAGATAAAACAAGAATTTCGAGACCATTTGGTAGTGTGTTCTCTTAGTGCACTTTAGATCAAACAATTCGTATCTCCAAATGTTGAAAATGATTCTAAGTAGGTTCGAAGCAAAATACATTTGTTACACCACGCTTTTAGAAACAGTCAGTCAGTCACTACGTTGAAAAAGATATATTTGTACATCCTGCTTCAGTTCGGGCACCCGGGCAGTATCACAGCCCACACACAAACCAAATGAGATTTGTGCGGCGCATATGTATCTGGTGCCTCCTTGTACTTGTGTTTAAATAAAAATAAAAATAAATTTGTACATCGGTTCAAGTTGCCAAACGCCGTTAGTACAGAAAGAGTAAATTGTCAGGTGAAATCCTAGAATAATAGAGGCAGTAACGTTATCAGTGGTAATGGGAAAGATTAGTCATCGAAGATATGAATCGAGAAAAAAATCTAAATGAGCGAAATAAAAGCATAAAACAGTCATGAGGAATTTCGAATCTCGGATTTTACAAGAAGACAAAGGACGTATGCACCACAGTCATTCTAAACCGTTTTTAGCCATTTTTCTAACCATTAATCATGATAATCACGGGGACCCCAATCAATACGAATAAGAATACTCCGTTTCTTAACATTTATTGTTTTTTTTTCACCCCATTTATTATTTGTAATGATCAAGATTAATTTTATTCAGTTGATTTATACATAAGATAACTTTATTTAGTGCAATTTTTTCAAATTAATGTTTCATACAGTTTAGTAAAATGAAATGTGAATCCTAAGGAACTTCAGGAGTTTGAAGGGAATGGCTTAACAACAACGATATATGTATGCATATATATAGTAGTCAGTTTAAAAATAGTTCCGCGATTACGTAGACCTCATTTCATATGAAGATTATATTTTTCTTAATAAATAATACTTGTCTCTCACTTAGTAATTATGTCACAATTTGTTTATGTATCAAATTTGTTGCTAATTAAAAATTAAAAAAACATTATGGATTTCTCACTCTCTCTCTCCTATTCATTATCCAATACAACTACATATCGCCGTAAAAAAATGAACATCGCAGTGGAAAAAATTTTTTAATTAACTCATTAACAGAATATTACAATTAAAGTGATAGGTATATCAACAGCTGACCTACCATATAAATCTTTGTTCATTGAGCACCAAAAAAAAATTTATCTGGAACGTAGATCAAATTAGATAATACTTTGATAAACTTGTTTTCCAATTCTAAAAAAATTTAAAAAAAAAGAAAAGTGATTATATAAGAAATTTCGAAATTTCTTATTCATTACTATTGGTTCATTAGAAATATCAATGATGTGTGAAGAAAGAAAAGTGAAACAAACATATTTCTATAACACATAAAAATAAATATTTATGAGTTTCTATGTGAAAAATCAAGGTTATTTTTGTTTAATCGTTTTCCTATGAATGAATTTCAATTGTTAAGGGGG